AATCGAATCGCTAAACTACTGCATGTGCATATGTCCCACATAAGGTACTAGGCACATGCAAAGAATAAACGTAATCGGTCCACAGGATTCTAAAATATGACGGACAGACTGACGCACGGACAGACGGACACACGGACGGTCAGACGGACGGACAGACAGACTCAGGAACTCACGGACAGTCGGGGACATGTATCCTAACATGTATGATCTATGTACTAAATTTGAATGAAAACTGACAAAGCATGTCCAAAATATTACATTTTCAAAAAACAAGATGGCTGCCAGTCGGCCATCTTTGATCCAATTGTGAAATAAATCATCATGGACATGTATCCTAACATGTATAATCTATGTACCAAGTTTGAATGAAAACTGACAAAGCATGTCCAAAATACAACATTTTCAAAAAACAAGATGGCTGCCAGTCGGCCATTTTGAATCAAATCGCTAAACCACTGCATGTGCATATGTCCCACATAAAGTACTAGGCACATGCAAAGAATGAACGGAATCGGTCCAAGGGATTCTGAGATATGACTCCGGACGGACGGACGGACGGACGGACGGACGGAGACCGAATTATAAGTCCCCGTTTTCGGACTTCGTCCGAACGGGGACTAAAAATTTACAGCACACAGTATCATTTACTTACCACAATAGCGCGCAGTCCTCTTGCACCTGTCTTTCTTTCAAGTGCCATCTGAGCTATAGCTTTCAGTGCACCTGGAGTAAATGTCAATTCGGCCTATCATCAAAATATAAACACAACTTGTATTATTAACACTGGCTGTTCTAATAAAAGTGTATCTCAATAGGGCTAATATGGTATGTTTATGTACAGGTAAAGTAAGTTTACGGTGTTGATTTACAGAAAATATATAGTGGCCCCTCGCTATGTTGCAGGTGTCGGGGATCCAAGCAAAAAACGCAACTTATCAAGGGTCGCGACTTACAGACTGGATAGCGTTCGCTTAGACATGCTGCTCAGTTGAGAAATAGAGATCAAAATGATGAATTCAACTCATTGTAGCAAGTTTTATAGAGATATATCAAAGTGGGACCAGCCGAGAAGTAAGTGTGGTCACTACTCGACACCCATGTTTACACCTTGAGTAAGGTCGCTGTCACCCATTGTATCTCAGTAATTGATGGACAGTAGGTGTTAAAAATAAGTTGTCTCTTTAATGGTTAGTTAAATACACGATGCAACGAAACATTAGTTTTTGTACTTCCAAAACTGTAGTCAAAACACAATAGAAATGTTGGGAGCCATAGAAGTATCCGCGACTTAGCCAATATCTCAACTTAGCAGCTCAGGTAAAAGTTGGTGGAACTAACTTTACAAAGCAAGTATATGTACAAATTCTAGGGTTCAAATTTACCACATTCAGTGGTGATCACATGTACTCTCCAAGTTGACCAATTCATAAAATAAGTATCATGCCAGAAATCAAAATTTGAACATAAAATCATTTGGATTTGCTGAAAATAATTTAGGCGAAGGTTCTCCGAACCCGCCTATTCACATAGTTCATACCCACCATAGACTCCGGTCAGTCAAAATGACTATTTTGAACTGTAGGCATTAATCAGCGATTCTGCCGATGACGGAGAGATAGAATCCAGGTCAGGGGAAGCCCCATGACCTCAAGATTCTTTTACCCCTTACGTCACAAACCCATGTGACCGAGGATACCTGGCAGCGCCACAGGTAGCCGTCCATCACTCTGGTTCCTTTCTCTCCGCCTCGAGGACTTAAACCAACGCGTCGATAAGAGTGGGGAGGTTGGGGGGGGGACCCGGAGTCTATGGTGGGTATGAACTATGTGAATAGGCGGGTTCACTAAATTCAATACGTTCAATTACCCACCATAGACTCTGGTCAGTCAAAATGACTATTTTGAACTGTAGGCAGAGTCAGACACCGATAGGTTGCGGGTTTTTCAAAGCAAACAGAAAAAAGAGAATGATGAAAGACTTTTCCCCAGTCCGGGATGAAAACAAACCCCAAAATCTACGTTAAGACCCAAGAAGGGTGGTGTCTTACCTTGCCTGTGCTGTCCCCGAAGCAAGAAGCCAATGACAGGGTTTGGTGTGCCCGAGAAAGCTAGACCCCAGCCGAATTCGGGGGTGATAAGCTTGAAGTAGGACCGAAACAGTTCGCATGAGGGCGTAGGTCGACCAAAGCGAAACCTGGGAGCTCCCAGGAAGTGCTAGTGGAACAGACAATCTGCCCGCAAAAATGCCGAGACTGACTTATCGCCTATGCACAGAGGCCCCTGCGGTCGTTCGGGCTAGGTCAGCAAACAAGGCCTGACCCGCTACGACGGGGCCTAACCTGAAGAGACCCTGCTCAATAGATTGGGTGTCTCTTAGGTAGTGGTTGATGAAGACGTTCTGCGTTTTCCAGAAGCCTGCCCTCAGAATGTGTTTGAGGGGGCACCTGACGCTAGCGCTAGTGAGTTAGCAATCACACCGAACC